GGGAACATAGTTGTCACCGAAATTCCATCACTGTTCACAAAACTATGGTGCGATGAGAAGGTTCCTAACTCATGAGGAAAATCTGTTGTGATTCCGATCCACAAGAAGGGCTCTCATAGTGAACGCACCAACTACCGGTGAATCTCACTTATCTCTATCGCGTCCAAGCTTGTTGTGTCCATTCTGCTGCGTAGGCTCTGTTACCCGCGAGAGTTTGTGTCGTGCGGAACAGGCTGGCTTGCGTTCTGGCCGTGGTTGCGTTGCCCAAATTTTCACGTTGCGTCAAATTCTCGAGAATCGTCATGTCCACCGAAGATCAACAATGATGGTGTTTTTGGATATCCGAGCCGCTTTTGACTCAGTAAATAGGTCGTCACTACGGAACGGCGTTCCCGACAAGTTTGTCATACTTTTGTAGGAGCTATACAGTTACACGTTTGGCAAAGTTAGGACTTATGGCAGGTTCTCTTCTTCGTTTCCTGTTACCAGTGGAGTGTGCGAAGGTTGTCTTCTCTCGCCGTTCCTATCCAACTTTGCCATCATAGATGTCCTACATCGCGCACTGGAAGGAACCTAGAGCGGCGGTGTTGAGTTTCTACCCAGGAGCAGAGTCGTAGACATAGACTATACTGATGACATCGCTTTGCTGGGGTACGACTCTCAGGCTGTTCAAAACATTCTGAATCGCTTATCGATAGAAGCATCTAAGTATGGTCTGTATTTTACTCCATCCAAGTGTAAAGCTTTACTCCAGGATAAGCAAGCGCCTGTGCCTACAGTCACCATTTCCTCTGTCGACCTGGAGCTCGTTAACATCTTTACTTATCTCGGGAGTTGCATCACGGCTGGTGTCCGTATTGGCGATGAAACTTCACAACGAATTGCCAAAGCCCGCCTTGCATTTACTAACCTGAGACACTTGTGGCGTCGTCGCGATGTCAGTCTCAACCTCAAACGCCGAGTGTATAATGCCACAGTTCGTGCTGTCCTACTTTGCGGCTGCGAGACATGGCCTGTTCGATCGAAAGATTTGAGGCGACCATCTACTTCGATAACTACTACTTCAGTTCGATTGCTCGCATATGGTGGCAGCACCAGATGCGCAACGCGGAAGTTAAAAGCAGAGTCATGGGAGCGGATTGTCCTTGTCTCCAGAGCATAATCATCCTGCACCGCTTGCGTTGGCTGGGTCGCGTACTGAGCATGCCGGCCCACCGCCTTCCATGTCGCACGTTATTTGCACTTCCTGGACACGAATTGAAAAAGAGCTGCGATGGACAACCAATGACCTGAAAAAGGAGCTTGAAGATTCTAACATCGTGTCTAGCATCAGTTGGATTCGTGCGTCCCCCAGGTTGGGGACCATGTGAAGCGGATTCCCATTGGTTGGAACTGTTGGAGGATATGGCCCGCAATAAGAGTCAATGACGTCAATGCTGTTCTACCATTTCTTCAACATGTAAAGTATAATTTTGAACAAAACATGAAAACAGAGCTCAAAACGGGGTGTGTGAATTTGAAAAAGCATCTTTTTCTAACCTTTCGCTCTCACTCCTTGTTGAACATTATGTTCTCCTTTCCCTATCACCATGGTTCGGATGGCACATCTGTCTGTGAATTTACCCATATATATATATATATATATATATATATATATATATATATATATATATATATATATATATATATATATATATGCAAATTGGCTATATTGCCATCAGTAGCAGATGGTTCACATCAGTACAATACAGTCAATTTGGAGTGGGTACCTGTATTCCTACCATGCTCTAGTGCGCGCACGCTTGGCGTTCACCCTTCCCGCTTCAATGAAGTATCTATCTATCTAACCTACTTACCCGTAACTTAAACTCGCAATCTGCAGTTCAACAATATCACGACGAACTGACCCATCAATTGTCAGTGAGCGATGCGGTTGGTGAACCAAATGCTGTTTGGAATCGTCTCAAATGTGCCATAAAGAATGCCTTTGACACATGCTGTGCACCCAACCTGAGACGTAACTCTGAATGGATCTCTGAGACATCGATCAGCTTGTTCCTAGCACGAAAACAGGATCCAGTGGGCATTGCGTTCCAGCGTGTCCTTAACACTGAAACGACGCATCTCAAGGAGTCTTCGAATCGACTGGGAACTTTGATGGATCGCGAGGGTCTGTGAGATGGAGAAAGCCAATGCTATTGGGAACAGCCGACTTCTGTTTCAGCTCTTCCTGAACACGGGTCTGAGAAAGCCATCCGTTAGGGAGACAGTAGCTGGAGAAAACGGGCAGCTAATCCACTTTCAGCGTCGTCGACTAGCCCGTTAGGCAGAACATTTTGGAGAGCAGTTCAGCAGGCCTGCTGCGACATTGCTGCTTGCCGAATCACCTGAATCGTCGTGGGAAGCCGATATGACAGATGCCATTTTATAAGAGATTCAACATGAGCTTTCCTTTCTGAAAGGAAACAAGACTCCTGGACCCGACGATCTTCCATCTTTGCTGAAATATGCTGATGGACCTTTGTTGACTGGACTCGCTACTCTATTTAACACGATTTGGAACAGTGAAGAGGTTCCTTCAGACTGGCGACTGTCAACTGTCGTGCCCATCTTCAAGAAGGGTCAGCGTACTTTGTGCGAAAATCATCGAGGCATTAGCCTTGTTTCCGTTGCATCCAAACTTCTCACGGGTATCATTCTCCGACGACTTACTGGTCCCGTGAGAACCGAATCACTGAAAGCCAGGCTGGCTTCCGCCCTGGTCGTGGTTGTATCGACCACATATTTACTCTTCGCCAAGTTTTAGAGCAGACACATACAGACGACCGACTATGGTGGTTTTCCTTGGTTTGAAAACTGCATTCGACTCTGTCGACCGCGCCAGCTTATGGTACTGTCTGTCCACGATGGACATTCCAGCTAAACTCCTTTCCATTCTGAGGTCTATCGTGATTTCCCAGATCGTGTAAGGGTTTTCGGGAAGCTGTTTCCTGAGTTGCCGACGACAAGTGAGATTCGCCAGTGATGTCCTGTCTTCTTTTCTCTTCAACTTTGTAATCGAGATGATCATGAATGTCTGTTCTTTTAGAACCTACCAGAGTGAAGTTTCTACCAGATGCCCAGCTGACAAACCTTGAGTTTGAGGCCGACAGCTCTCCTTGGGTCTGACGCAGTGACTATGGAAACACTACTGGGTAGACCGACGCATAGGGTTGCGTGCTTCGGCATGTACTTTGCACCTTCAAAATGCAGTATTGCAGAACTGTACAGACGCAATTTCGGTTTTAATGATTACCCAACTGCCACTATTGGTGGTGAGTCGGTTCACCTTGCTAGTTGTATTATCTCTGGTGGTCACATCATTGAGGAGGTTACTTCGCGTATCAGCAAGGCCCGTGTGTCCTTTCAACGACTCAACCATCTATGGAGATGGCGCGATCTCAGCCTGTCAGTGAAATGTAGTGTGTATAACGCTGCGATGTGACCGGTCTTACCGTATATATCAGAGATCTGGCCAGTTCGCAACGAAGACATTAAACCCTTGGTCGTGTTCGGACGCCGGTGCTTGCTGAATTTTGCTCACACCTGGCGGGAACACCAGGTGTGCCAAAGTCTGCCAGTTAGTTTTTGACAAGAAGCTTTTTGGTGCCTCACTGAAATGTTTGCTGAATCTTAATCGCTTATATTGGTTAGGTCATGTCCTCCATACGTCTTCCTCGGCGCGCATTATACGTCGTGGTTGCACCAAGTTGGGCGAAGCCGCAATGTGGCTTAGTGGCGTGAAGAAACTGGCTGTGACTTGATCGGGCCGGTGCGTCCCGTCTTCGTGGATGGGGGGCCTCGAGATGGTCCATATCAATGGTTAGAGACCGTATCTGACATGGCGCAGTCACACAGTCAGTGGGGTTCTTGCATCTGGTTGTTAATTTTCGCTCCATTCTAATTAGTTTAACACACTCCTTTCTTGTTTCCATTTTCTTTCCATCCTGACTGCCTTTAAACCGACTATCTTGCCGTTGTTATTTATTGTTGTTCTTACGATGTGAGTCGTGACAACCGGATCCACCCTATTTTCGTGCTCGGATCATAGTTGATCAAATGAATTAAACTGTATGGCCCTCATCATTCAGACTTCCACATTATTTCTACGTGGAATACAAGACCTGGTGGATTACTCTTCATCTAGATCCCTTGACGTTTTCAAATGCACTGCTATACTATTATTTTCTTCATGGCGATAAGCTACAGTTCCTCAGCTCGCGTGCTCTCACTGTGAACGAAACTCCCATACCCAGATCATCCAACGTCAAGTATTGATATTATTTTGTCCCATAGCCTCTTTTGATCCACGTGTTTGTAAAATCTTTCATAAATTCCGAAAACGATTGTTATTCCCTCACCCTTAAGATGCTTCCAGTACACTGTACTTTAGTATTTAATTTTATAACCTCATTCATTTACCCTTATTGGTTGCATTGCCCCCCTGTCGTCTTTCCTGGACTGCTTCAGAAAGACTACCTCTTGTTGGTACGATCAATTAAGCATATTTCTAGATGCAGTGGCTTGTCTAGAGGTGCCTTAGTTGCTTTGTTATTCTCGAGATATCTAGATGCTTATGAGTATTTTTTTTCTAAGTTCCTAAATGACCAGAACTCACCCGCAACCCTTTTTCTCCAACGCGTTCAAAATGTGAAACTTTATTCCTCCGTACTTCATCGTATCGTAATACTATTTTACCGTGTCTTTCACGTTTACTTGTTAGCCCAACGTAAGTCGAGAACATGCTGCGCCAGTGATTGCTAGAGTGACAATTGTGTATAAGTTTCATCTTTCTCCCCACTTGTGCTTTTTTATCGATTTCTTCCAGTACATCTTCAGTGGTGTAAGTGCTGTAAATGATCCCACTTGGATTCATAAAGATTATTTTAACTTGACTTGAATCTCATACTACGTGGCCGTAGTTACAGTATCCGATCGCCTATTTATTATTGATTTCATTTTGCAGGTCCATTACCATCTACGTACATCTTGGATACGGAAGACCCCCTAGTCTGAAACCGGGCACATACTACAAGGTGTCTTGCTATGCTCCGGCTTTTTGGCCACATTAAAAAACCAGTGGTATCGGTGCTAAATCGAATTCGCTCGCCATTGCTTGGATCGGCATCAGTAAATGGTAATTCGTGGTCAATTTCCATGCATTATAGTAGTTATGTCATTGAGATTATCAAGTAATCAACGCGTGATGGTACCTAAAGCCTCGGATTTCATGGATGGCAAGCTGTTTGATTCAATTGTAATTTATTGGATTATAATTTTCGTAGCATTTCTTTATTATGTTAGGTGCAATACCATGCTTTTTGCTTGTGTTTTGTGTCAACGTCCTGGTTGGACGTGCGGAGTTGTCAGATATTCCAGAGGGTTACGAACCAAGACATTGGGAGTATCACAAGGTTTGTTGCTGTGTGTTTTCATGTTTAACAGCATCCGTTAACCCGCTTTATTGCAAGATACATTGCGCCGCATCCTCAACAGGTGTACGAGTCGAAACTCGGGTTGCTAGCTGATCTTCAGGACCAACGACAACTTGTGTAAGTTCAATTAATGTTATCCAAAGTCAGGATTTCTCTTCCGTCTGTTTTCTCGCAAGTCATGTACTTTTGACTTCCGTTTTCATGTTTCAAATTACGTAGTTATTGAAACTAATTTTTTAATTCGAGTGTGAATGATGGCTTTTTATGCGCTTGACGGTTTGCAGCTGTACAATAGGTCTGTCAGTCTAAATTTCCGGTCGAATTTTTTGAAACCATTTCTCCCAGCTGTCTATTGAGCATGCTATTAAAACATTATGTGTTTACGGTTTCTGTAGTGAACTCTTCTGAAATTTAACTATCGCGACTATCGCTAACTGACTTCTTTTTTACTTGGTCAGTTGCATACTCTGCGTCGAATGCCACACAGCGTTCTCCACGTTTAGTTGTCCACTATTGACTATCTTCCCTAGAACTGATTTTATTAAATCATTCATCACCCCGTATGTTTCTCGTACTGCACATTACGGCCACGCTGTCGCGGGATCCGTTGCTCCATGTCAGAATACCGACTCCCGCGACATGCGTTTGCGCGCCGGGAGTGCGTATGGAAAAAGAGGAGGGGAGGCCAAGCGATGACTTGGTCGAGAGTAATGAAATCCCTCATTTCAAAGTCGGCGTCGGCTGGTGTGTCCCGACTGTCTGGCTGAAGTCCGAAGGACGATGAACACGTATGGCTGGATACACTAGTTGATATGGCAAGAAGCCGATCTCAGTGGCGTTTTTGTTGTGAGTTTGTTTGTCCCTCTCCATCCCGCTTATCTTCATCCTACAACCACCATTTCCCTTGTGATGCATAACATGTTACTAAGTAGTCTGTCGCTTGTTTTTTAGCATTCTATAATTTTCGGCATCGCTTTTATTGTATGTTTTATCTTTATTGCGGCACAATAGTTGAAGTGTGTTTCTCACATTCAGCTAATGTGTAATGATGTGCTGATGATGGATTCGTTGCTCTGTTTGCACTTTTTCGCTTTACCACTCTGACCGCGAAATACTAACACTTATGCTCTTTGATTTGAAATGTTTGGTCCACCACTGCTTCAGAATGAGTTGTTCTAAACCCCTTGTCGGTCCTTCCAGGGGTGTGCCCGGTGATGGATGCGACCACCTGCATATCGAGGTTTAAACGGATCTAACGAACGCCCTTATATCTAACCTCGATAGTTTTTTCAGCTATACTGGCGTTCTACGATGACAACGCTGCAGTACCGATGTTCGGCTCATATAGTCCGCCTCGTTTGACCGAGAGGTAGATTAGTTCATCAGTTCGCTTAGGGTCTCCAGCGAGTTCGCCATGGCAGCCTTAGAAATAGCTAGGTCCTCTCCTTTCCCACCGCCCATCACTCCATTGATGGTCCATTGATGAATGCAACGGATAAAAGTGCCTCGAATAGCGCGTTTGACTCAACCCAAGGCGCTTTTTAGGTACAGGCTCTCATGTTCGGTAAAACCAAATGCAAGGGTGATGAAGTTCTGTAAAATCTTTGTTGCCAAACTTAACGAATATTCAGAGCTGACAGCATCAAAGTTATAGCAGAACGCAAGTTCCATTTGACTGCTCCCGGTGAAGCAATTGAGTGGGAGAAACACAACACTCGAATCGACTGGCAATATAATTCTACTTTGTGATTAGTCGCTGTATGATCAGCGACTTCATTTGCAGAGAGGTGGTTGCATCCATTACTGTTCTTCGTATGGCACACATGTTAGACGAACTTCCTTGGTTCAACAAGATGTGTGCAACATAGCTCTTTATCTTTACATCTTCGTTACTATCTATCTTACGGATACGATTTCAGAGTGATGCGATTGCTGGTGTACGTGTATGATCCATTAAGCTATACCACGTGGTTCATTCCAAGTACCCTTAACAGGTACTTACTGAAAATATTATCAGTACTTTTCGTCAATACTCAGCCACTCAGCCATAAAGGCCCATTAATATGAAGCAATAACGAGAGGATAGAATCGAACCTGATGTGAAATGTTAGTACCCTAAACAAACATTCGGGATCAAGATGTCTGCACCATATTGGTCACTGACAAGGGTATAAACGGGGTGGTTTCAATGATACCTTCATTAACCCATGTCATAATCTTTTTCCCTCAGCATCATATACTTTAGACAGGAAGTCCAGCTAGGAGCTGACTGCAGACATACAGCAGGTGCCGGTCACAGGCCATGTACAGTTTGTCGCTTCAGCTTCAACCTGGTAGTTTAAATGATCCAATGGTACCGTTTGTGAAGTTATTGATTTCCCTTCTTGATGGTAAACCACTAATTGCGTTGTCGAACATTGAACGGTGCTATGTTACAGTTAGTAAACAGTTATGGTGGTCCGCCGCTGTAAGTCATTGCTCAGTGTGTGGTGCACTTCTAGTGAGTAGTATGGGTAAAAACGAGCAGGCACGAAGAAATCAGAGAAATCGCTGGATCGTTGTGAATGAAAGACGTGTGGTGCACAAAGCAACTTCTACTTATGCGTTGTGTATGGAGGTGCGCAGCAACCGTAGTCAGAATGGTACCACAAAGAGGTGCGAAAATCGATCCGACTTTCTACGTTATTCTTCAGTTGGCAACTAAGTTCCCGCCGTACATTTAATTTGAGTTTATTTTTCAATAAAAACTAACAACTAATTAATCAATAATCCTTTTTCCGTTGTTGTTTACCACTTCTCAACATTCATCAAGATTTTCAACACCCCGTTTGTAGAAACCACCCGGTTTAAACTCGAAAAATTCATCTGACCAAGCTGTCAATACTGCACCAGTATTAACCAAAACACTGCGCATAGCATTTGAAAGAAATCGAAAGAGGCGAAAAATCCGCTGGTGCCAAATCGAGAGAGCACTATGGGTATGGCAGCACTTCCTAGCGTTTGAATGGCTTTCTAAGTCATATTGGCGATATCATGAGGGGGCATTGTCGTGAAACAAAAGAACCGATCATATATTTTCTCTTGAATAGTCGTGTTGAGTCTTCCCATCTGTTGAACAGAGTTCCGTGTTGACTGTTCCGTTCGCTTCAAGCAATTCATAATGAATAATCCCTTCCCACTCCCACCATACGCACAAAGTCGTTTTACACGAATCTAGATCTTGTTTCAGGCGCGGTGTCGTTTCTGTACCGGGTCTAGGCCATTCCTTGCGCTGCTCCATATTGATGTACAGATACCATTTCTCTTCGCCCGTAACGATTCGGTCAAGAAATCGTTGCTCATGTCCATGAGTGGAGCACTGACGAGCAAGCTAATTACGGATGATTGTGGCTCCTTAGTTTTTGTTGCTGTTACTTGAGGCTTGCAGAACCCATGCTCCACACTTCTGAACCTTTTACATCGAGTGAAGATGCTTCTCTGTAGCAGTGTGCGAGCATCCCATTTTCTCTGCCAATCTCTTCCACTCCATTTAAAGCACTTTTTCAGATTATATCTCCGACCAGGTTCAGCACTCCACCGTATGTATTATTGGCGACTATTAGACACAACCCTCTTCGGTCTCTTCATGTGATTCCAGGTGCTATTAGGAATGATTCTTATGTCTGAGGTCTTAACGAACTGCAGCCTGGTTGGAATCCTGTTGATGATCATAGTGATGAATCGGCGGTGTGGTATCATTACTGTGAAAAGTGGCAATCACCGGTAGAGATTTTGTGTCAGCCTTTCGGCGGCTTTTCCTTCGATAGGACTGCTTCACGTTCTTTAGCCGGGATTGGTTGCAAACATTTCCTTATGGCCTTGTTTATGGCACTTATCACAAATGTGACGCTTGAGTGGGCAGTAACGTGCAAAATGCAATTCAACATATGACTAACAAGGTGTAGGCCGCTTGTTTAGAGCTCTGTTGAACGGCATGTTGGACCTAGCATTTGTTGCCTTTTTCACAGCATAAACAGTATTGACTATGGCTGGGCGACTCTGTCCAATAATGGTGATATCATGTTTCAAAGTGATCAACTGCTAGCATTCACCTAAGAGACTTAGCGAGAGACCAAGTGCGGATTTCCGCGTCACACGGTAACTGCAAAGTTGTCAAATTGAGTAATATCTCCCAGGAAAACTCATTAATTCAACGGGAAAAGAAGTTTGGCCAATGGTGTGCAGGCGAAACATCAAGTGGCTTCAGATGCCTTCGCGTCCATACGACGCATGTACCTACCTTTCATGGGCTAGCGGAACTGGTCTACCAATCAGGACAGCTGACCTAGCTGTACCGCTGCGCGAATCCTCCTTGGTTGACTTATAAAAATGCCCCTTGGTTTCACACTACTTGTATCCTTTTCGGTAGCTGGTTCAACAACGTGATTTTGCCTCCAACCATTGACTTTTTATTTCCGTCTGGGATTCGGAGCTAGCGGTGAACGGGTTCAGTTGAACCGGAATCGCAGACAGAGGTAGCTCATAACAAAAACACTGACAAATATGAGACACTCACAACTAACCATGTGTGCTACGGCCCCATAATCGTCCGTATCCCGCTTAACATTCTTTATACATTGATAGTGGATGCTAAACAAAGACGCTAACTCACCAAAAATCTCTTTGAGTAGTGCAATTGCTCTTTGGGCTGGATGCGGTCGTTGAATGTTCATTGGCACCGGGCTTGCGGTGCAGAAGTCGCACTTTCCATGAATCATACTGACGGCTGTGATCCGTCCGGAACGTGTTTTCCTAGCCTTTGAACCACGCCTCGAAAATGCATTCGGAATCAGCATCCTAATGAAGTGCAGTGATGAAATTTGTATGAAGCTCAAAGAAAATGGCCTGCGTGTACCGCGTAGCTGCTCCGGTTGACAGTGCATTAAAGCACTGCACCAAACTTTCAGTCAGCTTCCTCTGGCTTCCGTCTGGAATAATTGCTGAAGAGGCAGCTTTTGAAATTGTTCAGCGGAAAACTTCATCACATTTTCGTTTTTCTCCATCGTCAAATTTCCTCGCTATTCCGAATTAAACACCAAAAATTTCTTTGACAGACTTCTAGCCTATCTGAAGAAAAA